ATAGCAATGAACTTTGGTGCCCGGGGCAAAGTCCTCAGTGGTAGCCCATCCTCACCTACGCACAGATCTGGGGGCACTCTACCCCCCACCCCCATGCTTGCCTGGGAGAGCATGCAGCAGTGGGAGCCACTCTTCCCCCATTCCCATGCCCCTCCCCCTAAAGGAGCCACGCATGGCGCCATCCTGCTCCCCGCCTGAACTGTACAGCACCTGTTGGTACCCCTTTGTTTCGGTGCCTGGGGCTGTCACCCCGCTTGCCCCCACACTGTTGCTATGGCACTGTTTATACACGTGAGTTGTCCAATTGACCTCTATAGGACTACACAGTAACTCAGAGTTAGACAAAAATTTCAACAGCTTGCTGTAGTTTCCTTTCACTTCTTATGACATGGATGAATAAGAATTATTCTATTAATATACTCTGCATACACTGCAAATACGATTTTGAAAATGTATCTATGCAGTTGGATAAAACTGCTATGCTAACTGCTGGCAACAAGAAGACAAAACAAAGAAATAACAACTTCAAATAAACAAGTGAGGTATTCTATGATTATTCAGAATGGGAAAAGAAGTCAGCAATGACCAAAATGACAGGAGTGCTCCTATTCCTAGGAAGTGTGTACCAAATAAAAGCAAATAAAGTTAAGTGGTGACTTGAATAATGCATATAAAGAATTGTAACCTGAAAATCTACAGCCTAGGATGTGGAGGAGGTCAGAGCAAACAAGCATGATGATTTGTCTGGCCTTATGTTGGCATGCCTAACTCTTAGGCCTTGAGCATAGAATGCAAATCCATTATTAGATTAAGTGCCCCTGTCACATAGGGACAGCCAGAACACTGAGTAGAAGGACAGTACACTTAGCCAATAGGGAAACTGAAAGTGCGGGAGGTGGGAGTATGACGGTGTTTCGTTTTTTAAATGCTCTCCTGTTCTGGGTTTTTGTTGTAGCTGTGTTGATCTAAAGAAATAGGCAGGCAAGGTTCTTTGGGTAGATGTGATATCTTTTATTAGACAAACTGAGTAGTTGGAAAAAAGTTTTTTTCTTTTTCCCAGCTTTCGGGTGTAATCACCCTTCATCAGGCATAGGAAGTCTCTGCTGTTCTGAGACTCCAGGGAATGAAAGAAACTCCTATTCTGAATTCAGGATTCACATCTCAGTACCCTATTCTTGTCTAAGTTGTCTAGAGGAATAAATGCTGTTACTCCACAATTATATAAGTAGCCTAGTGGGTAAAGAACTTGAAAATGGAAGACCTTGGTATAGTGTTCCTCCCTTTGTACTTGAGATAATTTAATCCATGTCTCCCATGCCCCCAAGCCTGGCTCTTGGTTGTTTTTCATAAAGCTATGTCACCAAAGAATACAAGATTAATGAGGGTATGTGGAAGAGAGAAAGGACACATGCATTGCCTGGTCAGTAAGGAAGAACTAAGTGTGAAAGTGAAGTTTATAGAAAACTTGGGATAAAAATATGATGGTTCTAAGAAAGTGAAAGCCTGAGAACAGCAAAACAAAGACAGAAAACTTCAAAAGGGTATATTTCAAACAAATATCTTACAAATAATAGGCAAGGTCCCATGGACAGACAGACTGAAGGATAAAGGTGTCCAAGAGGCCAGGCAGTACCTAAAAGACATAGTTTTAAAGACTAAGCACAAAGCTATTCTAATAGAGTGGCAAGATAAGCAAAACCACAGGTGAACAATGATGCCATACAATGTGGCCATACATCTTAGCTGCCTCAATCAGAAAGCTATGGTATCTCCGTTGTCTTCAAGCTAAGCATATTTAGTTCTCTTCAGCTCTCCTCATACAGCTTTCATTCCATTTATTGTGCTAGTTGTTTACCCTTGGATACTTCCCAGATTCTCTATATCCTGCTTAAAAAGTGGAGTCTATTACTGTATGCAGTGCTCTTGTCATTCTGTTTATGCTTAGTGCTTTCCATGTGTTCTGCAATCATCTACTTTCAACATGAGCTACAGCCTTGTTGCATGCAGTACAGAACAGCACAGTACTGTCAGTGTGAAATGTATCCTTGCTAGACTGAGCAACATGGTCTTTAGAGGTGACTTTTGAACTCTTTGGCATCCTTCCTAAAGTTGAGTGTGATGTCCAGAGACTGAAGTAAAATATGAGATGCATCAAAACACAAGCTTTGATATATGGGGACCGACTCAATTCATGAAGGCATTTTTTCCAAGGGAAGCACAAAATCAAGTGTTTTCCATGAAAAACAAAAGCAAGCCCACGATTTTGTTGGGGTTGGGGATAAAAAAAAGAAAGGACTTCCCTGTTCCAAGCAGAAAAGGTGGGAAGCCTTTCCACCCTAAAGCAAATTATGTCAAGACCTACTGGAGCCTTGGAATGGGGGCAGGGGCCTGGGGGCAACACAGGACTGCCACGCTGCTGCGTGCCAGCTGGCACTGACTGTGGGGCTCACCCCAATGCAACCCCTCAGCAGCTGCTGTGAGACCCCAGGCATAGACCATG